ATACAACAATCCACTTCTTGAAGATTTATGTCAGGGATGTCAACCTCGATTTCATTTTGCATCAGCGTTGTATTTGACGTTGGGGTGTGTGTGTGTGGCCAGGGGGGTATGGCCAGCTCAACATCACTCGTGTCGGGGACACCGGTTATGGCCTGGGTGGGCGAGATCTGTTTTTGGCCATGATGGGTTCCTGCCATGATGGCACACCCGCCCCCACGAGCTCCGTTTTCACTGGTAGAGGGCTGCAGGAGGCTATCAAGGCTCAATTTTCACTGGCAGAGGCACCGTGGATCGGTCCTCCACTGTTTTCCGAGTGGCCCCATGGGCCAGATCTAAGCAACCCATGGGCTGGATCCGGCCCACAGGCTTTGAGTTATACCCCCTGCTTTAAGGAGTGGGCCATGAATACAGTCACCCTCCTTGCTCTTTTTCCAGAATATTAAAAATAGTACTTTTTCCCATCAGGTTGAGGGTCATAAAAAAAGCAAAACAAATCTTTTTTACTCTTATTGTCTTCATTTATCATTTCATACATGCTACTTTCCTTTTGGGCTTTATTCTTCCTTGAATGATCCCATCTGGCCAACAGCCAGATAGCAAGTATGGTTAGTCCTTGACTTATGATTTCAGTGGAGCCTGCCCATTGCCATCCTAAGTTAGGATGTTGTAAGTGGATAACTGACCCGATTTTAATTACCTTTTTATGGTAATCATTAAGCGATCACAGTGATAGTTAAGCAAACTCATTGTTTGCTATGGGGTACTTTTGCCAAAAAAAACAGAGTAAATGGCAAAAACAATGTAAATCATGGTTCCATGGCCGCAGGATTCTGCAAACAGGTATATATACGGGCCAGTAGCCAAGCCCCCAAAATGCTAAGCAACAAGTTGTAAGTCGAGGACTACCTGTATCACTAATTAAATGCATAATATTATGGAATAAATTGGACAATATGCTAATATTATACAGGTCTGAAAAAACCCATTGTTCATTATACTGTGTATAGCAGTTATCCTAGTTAATCAGAGATCATGAACCTATTATCATTGAAGGTAAATGAAATTCACAAGGTCAGTTGTATTTACTAAGTAGGAAAACTTTGTCTTTAAAAAAAGAACTCTTGGGGTAGGAGGAAACTACCAAAATATATCCTTTATAATGCTCTAGAACAGAGGTGTCAAACTTGATTTCATTGAGGGCTGCATAGGGTTGTGTTTGACCTTGGGGGGTGGGCATGTCCAGGTTGGGTGTGTCCAGTTCAACATCACTCGTGTTCGGGGTGCCTGTGGTGATTTGAGAGCTCTGCCAGCGAAAACAGGCTCTGTTTTCAGCTGGAATGGCCTCCTGCAGGGCTCTGCCAGCGAAAACGGGTGTACTCACCAACCTCCATTTTCACTGGCAGAGGTACTGTAGGCCGGTCCTTCAGTTTCCAGGGCGACCCCGTGGGCCAGATCTAAGCACCCCACAAGCCCCATACGGCCTGCGGGCCTTGAGTTTGACACTCCTGTTCTAGAACAATGTCTCTCAACTGTGGCAACTTTAAGATGGCTGGACTTCAACTCCCAGAATTCCCCAGCCTGCCTAGGGAATTCTGGGAGTTGAGGTCCAGTCATCTTAAAGTTGCCAGGGTGGAAAAACACTGCACTAGAGTGATCAATGTGCATATGATGCATTATACAAAACCATCTCCTAAGCCAGCTTGAGCTCAATAGGACTTACTTCTGAGAAACTAGGCACCTCATTGCCCAAACTCACTTTTCCAAGTTATATTTTCTTTCATCTTAAAAACGAGGGTGCTCTTGGAAGAAATCTGCCTGTGTGACTTTCTGCATTGCCTTGCCTGTCATGAATGCTCTGTTAAGGTAAAGGTTCCCCTCGCACATACCTGCTAGTCATTCCCCACTCTAGGGGGCGGTGCTCATCTCCGTTACAAAGCTGAAGAGCCAGCGCTATCCGAAGACGTCTCCGTGGTCATGTAGTCGGCATGACTAAACGCTGAAAGCGCACGGAACGCTGTTCCCTTCCCATCAAAGTGGTCCCTATTTTTCTACTTGCATTTTTTACATGCTTTCGAACTGCAGAAGCTGGGACAACTAATGGGAGCTCACCCCATTACGTGGCGCTAGGGATTCGAACCGCTGAACTGCTGACCTTTCTGATTGACAAGCTCAGCGTCTTAGCCACTGAGCCACCACGCCCCCATACTCTTTTAAGGATGTGTTAATAACAATCTTTTAAAGTAAGTTATTCTGGGACTGGATTCAGCCCACAGACATTTAGTTTGTTTATTTACTAAATTTATATGCTGCGACTTCAGAAATTGTGTTGGAATGACTTGCTTTTTCACTTGGAGTTTTCAGCCAAAGTTCTTTGATTTGCAGCCCATTTGTGATCCTGTAAAGAGTGGCTTGGGACCTGTACACAAAGAGCAGTAAAAACCCTAAACCATTCTCCCACCTCTCTGATTCATGCCTTCCAAATGACAGTGGTTCCCTTTCAAACATTTGTGGCAAACTCATCAAATTAACCACAAGGATGCTTGCCAATATGTCCACTCAACACACATAACAAGAATTGTGACTTCCCGCCTGCTTTTCCCAAACTGTTGTCATGAATGTCAGCTTGACCGGGGGACTCTTATCATGAATGTCAGCTTGACCAGGGGACTCCAAACTTGGCAACCTTAAGACTTGTGGACTTCAACTCCCAGAATTCACCAACCAGCATTCCTCAGCATGGCAGGCTGAGGAATTCTGGGAGTTGAAGTCTCCAAATCTTAAAGTTGCCAAGTTTGGAGACATGAGTTTGACCATGCTGTTGATAAGGCCTGGCTCATGCTTCTGATCCTTTGCTGCCCTCTAAGACTTCCTTCCTTCCTTTCATAGGAGAAATTCAGCAACTACCCAGAAGCTTAAAAAAAATAACCAAAGAAGTTGACAAGGAGCATCAGAATCAATCAATCTTCTCTCCCTCCCTTCCTTCATGCTTTCCTTTCTCCTCCTTCCTTGCTTTCTTTCCTTCCATGTTTTTTTCTTCCTTCCTTCCATCCATGCTTTCTTTTCCTTTCCTCCCTCCCACCCTTCCCCAATCCTCCCCCCTTTTATTGTCTAATGTCCATTTGGAGAAAATACACTAAGTATCAGAGAGAACAGGATATATTTGTTTGTATATATGCCGCCATGTTTACTTTATACTGTCACAGATAAGTACAGCTTCTGGCTTGCTTGCAGGATATGCTTTCCACGGTGCAAAAAAGTTTGTTCAAATTTGAGCACGGCTGATTGTATTAGCAGCCAGGCTTAAGATTTGTCGCCTTACTTGGAAGAAGCAAGTTGTCTAGCAATTGATGAGACTGGCTTCCTTATATGTGTTTTGACTCAATATGGCAAGCTCTGTTCATGGCTTGCTTTGGATTTTAGGAAAGAGTGCCCTCCACTGCCGTCTTAGAAAAGGCAAAATATTGCTGTGTGTTCTAATGCCTTTCAAATTATGCTGCAGTAATTATGAGGCATAAACCCTGTTACCAAATAAACAGTGCAAATACCCTAGCATTTGAAAAAATGATAATGAAGAGTACAGCATTGCTGAACTATGAGCATTTACAAGAGACAATGAGAGTTCCAGAACAAAATTAGGTTATCGGTACAATGAGAAAACAGAACAGTCTCTTTTGATAAATGGAGCTTGAAAGAAAAAATTACAATGTGGTAGGTACATTTTCCCCCCCTGCTCCAATCAATCAACCGTATATCCCTCCTTCCTGTTCCCTCCCCCATTCCTACCTTTCTTTCCAGGGTTTTTTTTCAAACAAGCCATCATCAATCCTAGGTCAATATTCATGAAATCCACAAGTCTTCAAACTTGGCAACTTTAAGACTTGTGGACTTCAACTCCCAGAATTCTCCAGCCAGAAGTTTGGAGACCCCTGAAATTGTAATCCCTGGATGCCTCCTCAGTCAGCCTTTGCCCCCCCCCCCCCCCCCCCCCAATAAAACCCCCACCTTATAACTTTTGCAAACTTCAGGGCATTTTGACCTAGTGTTTTTTCATGCTTGGCAACTTGAAGATGTGAAGATTTCAAACTCCCAGCAACTTCAGCCTGCTGGCTGGGGAATTGTGGGAGTTGAAGTTCCCATATCTTCAAATTGCCCAGTTTGAATTCAAAACACTAGGGATAAAATTTTGCATTTTGTTTCTTTTTTCTTCTGTTATTACTTTAAAAAGCAGTAAATAAAAAGTTGGGGGGGGGGAAATAGGTTTAAACGAAGGACAGACAATCTGATGGCTTCTGCCTTCCCTTTAAATAAAAAGAAACCATCTGTCCATAACCTGCCTTACACCTATCCATGGTTCTAATATTTATTTTAGTTAGATCTCATTTTAAACCAGGAATTCAAAGCAATAGACACCGGAGGGAAGAGCGGGGGTGGGGTGGGGGTGGCTTGTTAACCACACAACAAAACCCCGATAGAGCGACAGGCTGAGAGCGAGTAGATGGCCTCAAGTCGCCTACCGAACTTCCGTGGTTCAGGCTGGACTGACTTTCGGATCACCCCAGACCGGATCCCAACACCTTCCCTTCCACCAGCCTGTACCCAGAAAGAGGAGAACCGCTGGCCTCTTTTCCAGCGCAGGCATGTTTGGACTCCGAATTGAAAGTAGTTTTTGGCTACGTCCGCGGAGGAGCGAAAACAACAACTCCAAAACAACAACAACTCCAAGAACCCCCTTTGAATCCGACGATCCCACCCCTCTCGGTTTCCCCAAAATCTGGCGGCGGGGGGGGGGGGGGGGGGGTGGGTGCGGGAAACTTTGGGAAGCGCCGCCGTCCTCGGAGAGCCACGAGTCGGAGAAACGTGGAAGGAGGAGAAAGTCGAAGAGAAAAAGTGTTTTTTTTTTTTGCAGGGTGGTGGTGGTGGCGGTAAGCGACTCCTTGTCGCTTACTTCCCAGGGATGGGGTGTGGGTGGGTGGGGGGGTTTATTTCCCGGGATCACCTACCCGAAAGGCAGAAGGGGGCAAGGAGCACCAGCCACGGCAGCAACCTCGGGTTCATGGTGGCCTCGATGGGGATTAGGGGGGGAAAGGAAAACAAAAAACAAAAAAAGTTCTTCCCAACAGCTGGAATCCGGAGCCAAGCCGTTTAGCGCCAGCGAAGACCTAGACACGGGTTTCGCTCCTCAACGCGCGCACCACTTCCCCTCCGAGGCGCGGCTGCTCCGGTTAGGACCCCGGAGCGAGCTTCCCACGTGGTGCAAGCAGAGGAGGCGGGACGGCAGGGCAGGTCCCGTTTTGGGCAAAGGCGGCGGAGGTGGGGGGAGGCTGTAGGTTTTGCAAAATGCAAAATTCTGCGGGGTTAGGAAGCCCTCCTTCCCCACCCACCCCCTCGACTGCCCCCCCCTGGCTGGGCTGGCTAGGTTTCCTTTGCTTCGTTCCCCCGTTTTTGCAGGGGAGACCCACTCTCCCCCCCCCACGCTCTTCCCCGTGGCGCTGGATCCTTGGCATCCTGAAGTGGGTGCCCCAATCCACCAGCCATTTCCCCGAAGGCTGGGCAAGCCTCCACGTGCAAAAAAACAAAAAACAAAAACCAAGCCTGCTCCGGCACCCTCGATCCTTTTGGCTGGCGGGGCGCGTCTGGCAGCGGTCTCTGGGCATGTTTTCACGTGTCCCCAAAAACAAGCCCCGGACTTCCCTTTTCGTTTTCCGACCCCTGCGTGTGTGTGTGTGCTGTGGGACAGAACAGCGAAGAGTTGGAAGGGACCTTGGAGGTCTTCTAGTCCAGCCCCCCCCCCCCCCCCCCCCCCGCTTGCTCAAGCAGGAGAACCCTATGCCGTTTCAGCAAAAGGCTTCAAATCCAGCAAGGATCCCATTTTGAAGCGGAGATTCTTCTCTTTCCCTGAACGTCTATGGAGATTCTCAAGTCATCCAGGTCATGGTTGACCCAAAGCAGCGGTGGGATTCAATTTTTTTTTTACTACCGGTTCTGTGGGCGTGGCTTAGTGGGCGTGGCAGGGGAAGGAGACTGCAAAATCCCCATCCCACTAACCTGCTTTCCAGCTCCGTTCTCCTGTGCAGGGCAACAAAAGAATGCCCGGCCAATCAGCTGGGACTCGGGAGGCAGAGAATAGATGGGGGCGGGGCCAGTCAGAGGTGGTATTTGCCGGTTCTCCGAACTACTCAAAATTTCCGCTACCAGTTCTCCAGAACCGGTCAGAACCTGCTGAATACCACCTCTGACCCAAAGGTGCTTTTTCGGGAGGCAGCTGGACTTTCTTGTTTTTTTCTGTTGAAGTCGTTTCGCTTCTAGGTTCATATCATTATGAAAAAGCAAAAAGTTGTGATTTGATGCCAATGCCTTATTTTACTGCAGCGGAGAGAGTTGAAAGTTCATGTTTCTTTTTCTTTTTTTCTTCCCCCTCATTTTCCTCCCTACTGCTTTTCTGTTTACTTTTGTATTTTATAATCTATATAGAAAAGCGAAATACCAGTCATGCATCATCACAAAATCTCCAAAACCGTAAAGCCTACTTGAAATTTAGCACGTAAGTTCCTCTTGGCTTCTAGGTGCTCACTAAGAAAGGATTTTTCAAAATTACCATCAGAGCATTAATATTTTGTATATTATTATTAACACACTCTGATGCCAAGGAGTTCTAATCCCCCTCCTCACCTAAAAAGAAATCTGTTCCAAATGCAAAACACAAGCAGAGGAGTTTCAGTTTCAGTTTTACTTTCACAGCGCCAAGCAGCTTTTGTACAGAACAGTTGAGCTAAGCCACGCCCAGGCTCCTTGCTCACACAGCAAATACTGTTTCGGTTTCCAAACAGCCCTCAACTCTCACACACTGACAGGATGCTAGCCAGATGAATACTGATGGATGCTGGTAGGCAGAGGCACAATTTTTTCTCCTTATTTTCCTCCCCAAAAACTAAGCCCGATCACATAGTTTCGTAGCGAAGCACGGGTATAGATTTAGTATTTTATAACTCAATAAAAATGTTAAACTGGAAGTAGTTTCACTTCACATCCAAGAAGCTTTTTCAGCTCTGATTGGATGGTGGATCCTTCCATTCCCCACTTCAGAGCTGAAGAAGTTTCTTGGATGAGAAACAAAATATCTTCAAAGAAAAAACAACAAAAGTCCAGTTGCCTCCTGAAAAAGCACCGTTGGGACTTCTCTGCTTTCTCTTTTTTTTACTTTTTCACTTTTTAAAAACCCTACATGCTTACAGTGATTGAACAGTGTGGCTCGTTTCTACTGTATACCCTTACGCCTAATTCAGACCCACGATGTGTTGAATCGTGTCTTCTAGGTTCCTATGACACATAGAAACTCAAATTAACCACGTGGGCTAGATTCCCACCACGTGGTAGGCAAGGGATAAGCAATTGTGTTCTGACCCAAACCTGGTTCCAAGAAAGCAAACACAAGACAAAGGCAACAGTATAACCTTTTTATGTTTCAGCTAAGAATCCTGTTTCTTCACAGATAAAAGGCTGCTTCCAACTAATTAGCTCCAACAAGAAAGAGCCTTGCCAAGTTTTTGCAAGTCTGCCAAAACACAACAGATTAAAAAATAGTTTACAACACAAGTCTTCAAATACCAACTGTAATGTCCACGAGGCTGAGTTCAGAATGTTTTTGCCTTCTGCAAAGTATGTTCGTTCACAGCTATCTTTTATCTTCTTGAAGGAGGGGCCATTACCTTGCAGCCTTACTCCCGAGTCGCCTGTGCTGTTGTAACTGTTCTTTCCTCCGAGAAATCCTCCAAGTACGCGCACGTGCACTTGGCACAGGCTCCTCAGGAATCTCCTCATCACTGCTGCCAGCCCCCACAATCTCAGAAGGCAGCAGTCCAGGGGTGGGATTCTACCAGTTTGCACCTATTCTCTAGAACCGGTTGTTAACATTCTAAGCAGTTTGGAGAACTGGTTGTTAGAAGAAATTACTGGCCTAATCCTGTAAGGAAGGCAGGAAGGAAACATTCTGGTGTTGCTTACCAAAACTGCCTCTCCATTAACCCTTATTACATTCTTGGCAGGACTAGACTTCTTGTCTCAGGAACTTCTCTGGAGTTTTTTTCCCCCTCCTTTGCTGGTACTTTGCTTGTGTGGAGTGACCTTTCAAAGTTACAATGGCACTGAAAAAAGTGACTTATGACCATTTTTCACACTTACGACTATTGCAGCATCCCCACAGTCATGAGGGGCCCAGGCGAGGAGATGCGTGCCTCGATGTGAGCCAATAACATGACCACCAAGCCATGTCCACCCAGTCACATGACCACCAAGCCACGCCCACCACCTAAGCCACGCCCACAGAACCAGTTGTTAAAAAATTTGAATCCCACCTCTGTAGCAGTCCACTCCCTAATGGTCCTGGCCCCTCATCTGAGTCCTTGCTCTCCTCAGCCGTCTGCGCCGGCTGCCGGCTAACACATTGTGGGATTCCCCCATACTATGAGCTACAACTTTGCTGCACCCCAGCCAGTAGAGTGAAGGGGGAAAACTACCCCAGACTCAATGGACAACGGAGACCAATACGATCTGTTTGAGCCAAGTTTATTGAGCTGGTACAGGTTCATTTAGTGACCATTTAAAGTTACAACATCATTGAAAAAACTTATGAGCATTTTTCACATTTACAACCATTGCAGCATCCCCATGCATCAAAATTCAGAGGCTTGGCAACTGACTCATATTTATGACCATTGCAGTGTCCTGACGTCATGTGATTATCTTTTGCAACCTTCTGACAAGCAAAGTCAATAGGGAAGCCAGATTCACTTAACAACTGGGTTACTAGTTTAACAACTGCAGTGATTCCCTTAACAAATGTGGCGAGAAAGGTTGTAAAATGGGGCAAAACTTGTTTAACTGTCTCACTTTAGTAACATAAATGTTGGGCTCAGTTTTGGTCATACATTGAGGACTACCTAGTTTTCCTTTTCTTACAGAAAAGGCAGAATGACTCCCATTCAAACCCATGACCAAAACAACCCAAGTATGTTTAGCCTTTGATTTGTGTGCTCAGCAAGCCTTGAGTAGCAGTCATGACCCTAGAAGGGATCTTACAGGAAAGGCAGAATGACTCCCATTCAAACCCATGACCAAAACAACCCAAGTATGTTTAGCCTCTGATTTGTGTGCTCAGCAAGCCTTGAGTAGCAGTCATGACCCTAGAAGGGATCAACGTCTCCAGGACATAAGCCCTGAGTTTGCAGTTCCAACCTCTTAGAAAGCTATTTGTATGTCATATGATCAAAGAGCCAGTTTGGTTTTAGTGTTTAAGGAAAGGGTCTAGGTTACCCATGGGCTTCATCCCTAAAGCAGCAGCCTCCCAAGTTCTCCCATGTTCAAGGCAGGCACCTTAAGCCAGGGGGGTCTTCAAACTTGGCAACTTGAAGACGTGTGGACTTCAACTCCCATAATTCCTGAGCTAACAGGACTGGAGGAGGAATTCTGGGAGTTGAAGTCCACACGTCTTAAAAGTTGTCAAGTTTGAAGACCCCTGGCTTAAGGTGCCTTCCTTGAACTTGGGGGAACTTGGGAGGCTGCTGCTTTAGGGATGAAGCCCATGGGTTACCTAGAGCCAATCATTCTCTCTCGGTCCTAGAAATCTGGCCAAAAGACCTTGCAGGACTGGTCCAGGCAGTTATTAGGAATTAACACTGATCCCAAGGCACGCCCTACCTCCCAAAAAGGTGTTGTAATGACGAGGCAGTTGAGGTGTTTGATCATGATCAACTGAATCATGATGATCTTTATTGGAGTCTAGTTTTGCATTTATACACATTTTTAGTAATCCTCAATCATTGGTTAACTTTGGTTACTGCTTAACTTTCATTACTGTTTAGCATAATAGTAATTAACACAATTAATTATCTCTAGTTAAAGTCTAACATATGTTTACTTCCTCTCTCGAATCCTCCTTTAGATTAGTGACTTTGTTTGCCTGAGTTGTATTTGGTTGTAAACATTCTTTATCTGAGGTTTGCCATCCAAGATAAGAACATTCCTGCAATTACAACTCTACAAAAAGGTACCAATACCCAGTGGTGGGATTCAATTTTTTTTATTACCGGTTCTGTAGGCGTGGCTTGGTGGGCATGGAAGGGGAAGGATATCCTGTAAAATCTCCATTCCCTCCCCACCCCACTAACCTGCTTTCCAGCTCTGTTCTCCTGTGCAGGGCAACAAAAGAAGACCCAGCCAATCAGCTGGGACCCAGGAGGCAGAGAA